GGGAGGCTGATGCTCTTCGAAGGCACTGTCAAATAATCAGTTTTTCATAGCCAAAAATATTTGGCTGGGTTTAGCCTTACATATCTGCATCCTGTCTGCGCACATTGTGTGAGTCACCACGTCTGAGACCAAGTCCTGCCAGTTAAAAAAAAAAAAAAAAAAGGATTCAGGGGCAAGTGGTTGTTTCTGGTGTTCGGGTTAAACCCCCTCCCGGAGGAATGCTCGCTGCTGTGTCCGTGTCCTCTGCCCGATACCAACCGCTTCTCCTTTCCGTACCTGCCCCATTTCCCCACTGGTCCAGCGTCCATCCCACACTCCCCCCACCGATGACTTCCTACCATTTTTACCTTTGTTCTCCTTCTATTAAGACTAGAATTGTCTTTATGCTCCTCTGCCCATCTGTGTGAGCCTACAGAGACTTCCATCTGAGTCTTACGCTACAAGCAAAGTATCAATGAGGAGTTTTGCTGGAGAAGGGGGAGTAGGGCAAGGGTGTCCACAGAGGTCTGGGGGACCGAGTAGAGGCAGAAGGAAAGCGGAAGGGCTGGTCTGATGTTTGGGTGATGCTTTTTGTCAGGCTGCCACAGTTGCTGCGTGCAAAGTAAAAATACGCCTGACATGATACTTACTTAGGTATCCCTGATCTGACCACAGTCACTTGTTACTTGAGACCACAAATAATAAGAAACTGCCATCAACTGACACAGCAAATACCTCGTGCATTTGTATAAAAATGTTTTGGCCTGCTCTGCATTCTTCAGATTCTTTGCGGCAATCTATTTGGAGGTGTCTGTCAAGCACTTGCTCCTACTTTCACCTTGCATTTCATGTTCTCCTCACCCTACCGGCAGCCAGATGGTTGAATGTAAGCCAAAACTAAGAAGGATTTCCTCTTTTCTTTTGAAGAGACGGGTGCTCAGAGATTTATCAGTAATACAGTTGTACTTAATCAGATAGAGTCTGTCCTGTGTAACTAAGAAGGCCCGCAGCATGTTGCTGGCATAAGCAGCTACTCTTGGAAGTCCTGCTTGAGCTGCCATTTCGCATTCCATGTAGAACTGTGCTCTATGGTTTTCTGACTTACCGTTTGTCAGTTCTCCTAAAACACCAGTAACGCGGTGATGTTCTAGTACAGCTTTTGCATACTGTCATTTCACATCAATCGTTCAGAAATTATGACCACTACGTAATTTGGAACAAGACTGTCACCCTGTCTATGCTACATATAAAATTTTAATATTAAAAGCGAATGACTGGGTTCATCGTAAGACCTAATTAGTTCTTTAGAGAATCTACTTGGTGCAGCAGCCTGTCCTATCCGCATTGATGTTAATGTATTATATAATCAGCTTTAGAAAATGCAGCAGGCCGAAAGCCGGCTTCTGTGTCCCTGTGCTCATTCACTACCCTAGGGAGAGTACTGAAAATCAGCAGAATTTTACTAGAAAGTAGACATTTCTGCTGGGGGTTTTTTGGGGGGTAGTAGAGAAATTGATTGTCTTCAAATCAACTTTGTCTGCAAACTGTGTTCTCCAAACACTTCTTTATAGGTATATATATAGTAGTGATTTTTCCAGAATGAGTTAGATGTTCCCTTTTGCTGTTCAAATTGGGTGGTGAAGTAACAGACCATGCCATTTTGATAGTTTGCCCCAGGAGCTGATTAAATGATCTCCCTTACTCTGTATGTGAATTGTGCATTTCTGTGCAGACATCAGAAGTATCAGAGCCTGCAGTATCTGCTCTATCCCTGTATGGCAGAGCACATTGCTTACTATCTGTTTAAACACTAAACGTATTTCACTAGACAATTGCAGTTTGTTAACAGAAATAGTCCCCTATAAAACTTTATAGTGGATGAAGTGGAATTCCTACTGTGCACTTAGTGATAGCGTATTTTACGATCATTTAGTAAGAGACCTTTCAGAAAGCTAAGACCAGAATGTGAGGGCTTGCATTTTCCTTTCTATGAGCCATGACCCCTTCTGCAAGCTCCCGTGCTTGAACACGTGACCCTGAACAGCACCTTTGCCTGGATTTTCCAAGTAGAGGTTTGCAGTCTTCCCTCAAAAGCAAAAACAGGAAGAAGAAATCAACTCTCCTGTTTGTTGTTCCTCAAATCTTTGGGAGGCAGGACCCTGACAGAGATTTCATGATCTCATTTATGGCTTAGGTGAGCTATGTGGTAGATACAATTGTCATCTGTTTCCCCACGGCAGGAGGTCCTCTGCTTTAGTCATCCTGTACTACAGTTCTAAGGTTGTTCTGATATATTTAGATCAATGAACTGCACAGTAAAGATAATCTTGTCTAAAGGGAATGCAGTAAAATATCCTGGAAGATTAATATAGGAGAAATCCAATCAGAGCACACATCCTGCCACCTCAGTCATTATGGGTAAGACAGCCACAATTAAGCCCTGTATATTACATAGATAGTAACTATGGGTGGGAGCAGGCCACCTTTGATAAATTTGTTCCAATTCTTGGTTCATGGAACTAAAGCAGTGACAGATGAAGGCAAAGTTCCCAGGTCAGGAAAGAATCAAGAGATCTGTATGTGTTCAAAGTCAGCAGAATGCAGGTATTTCTTGACATTGCAGCCATTTGTCTTGGAGACACCAAAACAGAGATGAACAGCACTACCTAGGTTTGACACTTTTATTAACAAAGAACCCATGGGGCTCATTCATTAGTACAAAATACAATCATGGTCCTTTATGTTAAACAGCATTTTTTTTTTTTTTTAAATTTTGTCTCTTTTAAACTGTTTCACAGTTATCAAAACAAAGCCCCTGCATATTGAACTTACTATTGTGCAAACAGTTAATTATTTTAAGGATCAATTTCTGCACTAAGCCAAGTGTCAGAGAGCAGAATTTAATCTTGTTTTGACCCCTCCTTTGAAGGGCCACACGTGCTTCTTAAGAAACACGTTCTAGTTGTCTTTTTTGCAGCAAACAATCTAAGGCCACAGTTTATCTGCAAATAAAAAAATGACTCAAAGGTTTTAGGAAAAGAAAAAAAAAAAAAAAAGAAAAGCACATCTTTACCCTTCATGCTCTTGTTTGCTTGACTATGTTTATCACATCACCTATCGGGTATTACAGTCCAAAAAAAGCACCTAATGTTCTTTAAGCTAGTATTTTGAATTATTAACATGCAAGTTAATGTACAGCCACATTATTTTTCAAGTAACTGTAATGGTATCTGTTTAAAGAAAATATGCTCGTTCCCTTTCCAGGTGATGCAAATGAAAAACCTGCATTGATTGTATGGGCATGCCATCATTTAAATAAAAAGGCATGAGAGCTACATCTTGAAACTTAAGATAATTTTTGGAATGTCCTTTCTAAAACATGCACTCAAATTTTGGTTAAAGCTGCATTTGCTACAGAAGACAATACTTAAAAGTTGCAAATGAAAAAATAACTGCCGTTTGGAAACGTGAATCTCGATCAGTATGTCTTTTACGCTGATGTAAAAGTGACTTGAGGTGAAGTGCTAGAAATTAGACAATGTAAGGAAGTCATACTAAAAGACTAAAAATATGTATCCGCTTATGCCTGTAGAAAAATCCCTGCTTCTTAAATGAAGACAGATTTCATAAAAAACTATTTAAACTTTTTTAAACTGCAGTTATTGATGAAATGAAGGAAACTCAATTACTGTTCTCGTACTTATTAGAAAGTACAATGTTTTACCACGTGAAGCACCGGGTTTTAACCCCAAACCCTTCTGTAAGACATATGGAGTAGTTCTAGTAGTTCAAAATTCCCTGTAGTTTAAAGACTTGACCGTAAACGTGCATATTGAGAATGCTGTGTTTCTGCTCCTTTAAGTGATCTGTTGATGGCAGCTTGCTTACTCCAATTGATGCTTAGCAGGAAGCAAACATTCTACTTTAAATGAAGGCAGCAGAAGGGCTAAGTAAAATGCTGTGCCTTCACTCTTAGCAGCAACAAACTCTCACTGTTCTAAATGACCTGAGGAAGAAAACATTAAAATATTGCACCAAAACAAAATCAAACAGCAAAAACAAACAAGGAAACACACTAACAAAAAATAGTATGGATAGCAAATGACCAGTGCAGCCCCTGACAATAGATCTCTAGACAAAAATGCAGGAGTAATGAAAAGCTTTGTGCCATTACCAGGATTTTGTTTCCCTGGTGTCCACTTTCACTTCAGCTGTAAGCTATGTCTATTCTGGGTATATTTACACCTCTCCCTATGCCCCCCAATCTCATTCACTAACCACAGAAACAATTTAGGGTCCCTTTTAGAACCTTGAAGTACACTGGAGCTTTAACAAGACTTTTTGGTCTCAAATCTGACCATTAAGTAAATATCCAAACCAGAGGTAGGCTTATAAAGGCTTCTGAATAAATAAGTATTGTCCATTTTGCTAAGTATACCTGCTGTTGGCAAGAGGATTCTCCCTCGCTGTGCTTCCCCTTAGCACGCTATCCATAGGCTTAAGATGCAGAAAAAGAACTCACAGTAGAAGAGGCTAGAATAATTCCCTTAAGAAATCCCTTGAAAGAAAGCATAGTGCATAAGCTCTTATCGAAGTTCAATTTTCTTTTACATACTTGCGTCTTTCATTCAGTAAATGGTTGCCTTCATAGTATTGCGTAATAGCTGTTCTGTCATCCATGATGTCTTTAGTATCATTATGAATGATTAAATAGTACCACTTGGCAGTTGTTAGAAGGACAGGTTCTCGGGAAATACGAAGTTACGCTAGAGTGAAGACTTCACGTTTTAGTAGTGTTCCTTTCTTGGATGCAGACAGTGCAAAACTGAAGCCCCTTGAACACTGGAATCTTTTGGAAATGTTTCCTTACCCCGTATTCTGTCCTACTATGCAAGTTCTACTACAAAAGTTCTCAACATCAACATCATTACATAAATTCTTCCATAGTGTTCCAAACAAAATATATTCTCTTCAGAAGATCCTTACATCTCCTCCTCGTACTTCATGTAGTATTATCCACTTTTTAGAAAGCATTCAGTATTTTCAGGTACTTCTCAAGTATCCCAAGCATAGCTGCTCCCACAGTATCCTCTGTGCAGACTAATCCAGCAGATTCTCCTCCATCACCAAACGTGCTCATACCTCCCTCTCCATTTTCTTTTGCCTTTCTTGTACACAAACTTAAGTTTTGAAAAAGAAAACTACTTCCTTTTTAGCTGCACTGTCAGCTTAAGCAGCAGAAAGATTAAGACATTCATCACAATGATGCTCATTACAAATCCTCTTCAGAGCATGAATGAAACGGGCTGAATTTCTTCTACATCAGTTGGATGTGGATCAATCTACAGAGAGAAGAAAGGCAACAATTACTGCCTATAATTCTTGCATTTCTGCATGTGGGTTTCTTTTTTTTTGCCATCTGACAATAAAAACACCACCTGCTGTTTATTTTTTTACCTCTGAATAAAGAGGTGGAGGCTGAAACCGGAACTCTTGTATGTAAGCAAAGACAGGACAACACAATTGTTCCTCACAGTCAATTGGTGGTGGATAAGCAGGAACATGTCTGGAGAACTCTTCCTCAGACACTACATCAGCATAATTTGGTGGTGCTGAAACACAAGAGATGCTACTGTCAAATTTCAAACTATTCACTCACAGCAAGACAACATATGTGTTACAGTATCCAAGACCATGAAGACTGTATTTATTAAACATTGTACTATTGTCAAATTGTATGAAGTGCACTATACTCAAATACTGTAACCAGAATTATGTTTTTAGTAAGCTT